GGGTTTCTCCTCATCTTTCTCCTTGCTTGAGTCAGCTTTAAGTGTAGGTCAATCAGCTTTGACATGTCCAGACTTCCTGCATTCAAAACAAACAACATTAAAATAACTTTTAAAATTTTTGCTATCCTTACCTTTTTTCCACTTCTGATGATGCTTGTGATTTTTTCTTAGAAAGCTTTTGAATTGCATAATGATTATGGCAGCATCATTGCTTTCAAACCCAAAAGAATTTGTATCCGTATCGTTAGCTTTCAGCGGCACAGTTTTCTCCTTCTTCTTTTCACCTGCATCAAGTTGTCTTTGGTTCACCCCTTGCTCGTAAGCAATGAGTGACCCAAGTAAGTTATAAATAGAATAAGTATTCAAATCCTTAGATTCAGTAATTGCAGTAATCTTAACATCAGAAAAAGAAGGCAAGCATTTCAAAATTTTATTGACTCTTTCATAGTTAGTTAGCTCTCTTCCTAAGGCATGCAATGAGGTGACAATTTGAGTAAACCTAGTATACATGTCAGAAATTTATTTAGTAGGTTTCATACAAAAAATGTCGTAGTCATGTAATAAAATATTCAACCTAAATTGCTTAACTTCATTTGTTCCCTCATAAGTAATACACAATTTATCCCAAATTTTTTTACCAGTAGAATAAGTTGAAACATGCATGCAACCTTCAAATTTCAAAGCACAAAAAAATAGTTTAAGCATTTTGCATTTAGTTGTGCTAAATCCATATCATCAAAAGTCCATTCAGTTAAACGAAGTTCGGTTTTAATGCCATTAATTTCACGTGACAGAGGTGAATAACCATCCTTAACAAACATCCACATGCGATAGTCAATCGATTGTAAAAATGTATACATGCAAGTTTTTCAAAAATCAAAAGAAATATTGTCAAATAAAGGTGGTCGGGTAATAAAATACCCTTACGCAGTATTACAATTATCAAAGTTAGTCATTGATTGAAAATTAAAAGTTTTCAAAAACTCGTTTTTATGAATCCCGCTCTGATATCACTTGAAAGTTCGTCAGGGATGTTAAACCCTTATGAACTAGTCCCAAGAATAACCAAGAGGGGGGATGAATTTGTATTTTAAAAATTTCTCCAACCAAAATCACAAACACAACCAAACAATCACCACAGAAATTAAAGTGCGAAAATTAAATGCTGAAAAATAATAAGAAAGAACACATTAGATTTTATTGTAATTCGGTTAACTTGACCTATGTCCTCTCCTTGGAGCCTCTCCTCCGGGTATTGCACTAAACTAAGTGTCTCTCCTTTTGCCCTCACAGCAAGGCGGAGAAGCCCGTACAAACTCCTTTCCACCGACCCTGGTGAGGCAAAGAACCCAACTCTTTTTGCTTTCTCCTGAAATAAGCAGAGAACCCAACTCCTTTTGCTTCCTCCTGAAGTAGGCAAAGAACCTCGATCAGTTGCTGAAGTAGACCTCTCTCGAACCTCTAAGGAACTAGGGACGACGATCGGAGAACACGATTCGGATCCTTGTTTGGAGCAACATTTGTGAAATCCCTCACAAACTCCCTCTCACAAGATCCTCTCTCTCTTTCCCTTGCTCTCTCTCTCCTCTTGGCTCTCTCAGGTCAGGACAACAGCAAAAGATTTCCTCTTGAGAAAAAAAAGAGATCTTTTAAACAAGGTCTCCAAATTTGTCCTAATTTGTAACTAATCGTCAAATATCGTCCAGGACAATCGACCGATCGTCCCATATGATCAATTAAAATTTAGCTCAAGCAGCCAGGATGATTTGGGAGAGTCTGGAAGATTAGAAGGTTCATTTGTTTAGATAGTCCAAGATGACAATATATCGTCCTGTATGATTAGTTCAATTCGTTGAATATCGTCCAGACCATCACCCTGGATGGATGTTTGGACGATGAAAAAGTAACTTGATCTTCCAGTATGATCTCACGATCGTCCGGGTCGATTAGTAAAAAAATGCACTTATCGTCCAAAACATCGCCCTGGATGGATGTCTGGAGGATAAAAAATTAACTAGATCGTCCAGGCTAATCTCACACTCGTCCCGGACGATTAGTACAAAACATCACATCTTGGCCAGAACATTGCCCTCGATGGAGCTAGGCCGATTTTTAATCGTCCATGAAGAATTAAGGTTTGTTAACTGATTGTTTTGGACGATCCTGCGATCGTTCAGGACGATATGATCGAGCAATCAAACCTTAATTGCTTTCCTTAATTATCAAACTAATTTAGTCATAATTGAAGCACATCATCCAAGACGATATCCTGGACGATGTCCAAAAATAAAACATGCCTAAAACGTTATGGCGGTTGATTCTTTCTGATTTGATCATATCATCCCGGATGATGATAATATGGTCCAGGACGATTTGCTTAATTGTGGTTGCCTTAACCAGGATGCCCTAATTAGGGTTTCTATTTTTAACTGACCGTCCAGGACGATTTGGGATCGTCCAAGATGAATTGGGATCGTCCCAGGCGATATGATCGAAAACAGAAAACTCTAAAACAATCATATTTTCCCCCAAGTGTGTGTGTGCTAGATTACTTAGCATCAGGACCCACATTGTTACAATGGATTCAAGAAAAGGTAAAACACACTTGACGTACATTACAAGCTGATTCAGTCCTAATCTACCCAATCTTGAGCTGGTTCGATTCGCAATTTGATCTTGTGGACCTGAAACGTTAGTAGGCAAGACAGTCGTAGAAAAATAGAAATGTTTGATATCATCAAAATTATATTCCATGAAATCAGATTCGCAACAATATTTACCTGAAAACATGCATATAGATAATTTATACAATATATGCGATCATATAAACAAAATTAAATCATGTTATGCATGCATGCTTGTTCAAGTCTATCGAAATGAACAGTCGAAGTCTTATCAAGGAGAATCTGAAAAAATCTCTCTTACTAACACTGATCATGAAATACTTCTATTAGGATAAAGTGAGTAAGAAATGCCTATCCGGACTTCCCAACCCGTCAAGTTTTTCAAATATTCATTCAAATCAATATTTCATAACTACAAGTATGATTAAACACTTCAAAGAAAATATAGAGTTTTATTAGACGTTCAAATAACATTGACATACTCAAAAGTTGGTATGTACAGCTTCTCCTCTCATCTCTACATACACTTAAAATGTATGTACAAAAAAAGAGTAATCAATTGTCCTGCTTAATGCCCCACTGACTTTTTTCCCTTTTGTGCAGCTGAACCACTACTAATGAGTTAGAGCTCAATGAAATACGTAATTATAATATAAGAAACATATTTGCAGCTAATGGAAACCAATTTAGAGTGTATAATAAGAATGTACAAAATATTAATGTCTTTTTAACTTTTCACATTTTCTATTTTGATTACTATTCTACATTTTGGCAAATCATATGATGACTATAGGCTTTTGCATACTTATAGCTCTCTAATTTAATGTTAGGTCCGTATTCCAAACTTTTAGAATTAGAGAACAACTTTCTCATTTAAAGAATGGTCTGAATTTTCAACTTTTAGATTGAGAAAACGCAAGGTACCCTTTGTATGGCTTCCCTAAGGCTTTATCTCGTCGGATCTTACGCTTTTACTTGTGTGGGTCTATTCCTAATATATGACTTATCTCATTTCGCCTTTTCAGTTACCTTTTCATATGCTTCACATATTCCTAACAATTATCACATTTTTTTAACAATTATAAAAAATGTTCTTGCAATAAATATTTGATAGAAATGAACTGTATGAAATATTTAATGAAAATAGAAATAATACTAGTGTAATTATATAAAGTGTTACTATTTCTTATACCACCATTTGTGTATCTCACCTCATTCCTTGGGTTAGTCGGATAACTTCGTTCACCTGAAATACCTCGGCCTTTATTCCTTTTATATACAACCTGAATTGAACTCCTCATTCAGCCTAAACTTTTCTTTTTATTGCTTTTCTCCTAATTTCTTTTTCTCGTTGATTTCAGCAATTACAGCTTACTTCCTTGATCTCTCCCCTTACTAATTTCAACACGCAACACATATTTCAACAATTTGATTTCAGCCCTAAACTGAATTTCAGGATTTAACTTCAGCAAAACCTGAATTCCAGCAAGCACTTAACACTTCCGAAATTCAAAAACTCCAAATTCAGAGAACCTGAATTTCAGCAAATCAGCAAAGCTGCAAAACAGATTTCAGCAATCAGCAAAGCAAATCTCAGCAATTTCACAGCCTTAAATTGAATTTTCTTACCTTAATTTTCTAAATATTTCCTCTTCCAAACAGCCGCTGCATTCATCTCCCAACTCCCATCCTATTTTCCCATTTGCATGCAACTGCTTTCAAATCCAGAGAACAGTAAGAAGGAAGAGTGAAAATGGCTAACCTTGGCTGTCATTAAACTAATACTATATATCTTAATCATTTTCGACTTAAACCAGCTAATAATTTTGTAATAGCCTTTATTTTGAATCAAACAAATAATTTTTTAGGAGTCTTTATATGTTCTAATTCCAAATTTGATATGGGGCATTACACATTCTCAGATGTTTGATGAAATCCAACCATTGCATGTTTTACTTAGCGGAAATGTACTTGAAGATTAATTAACTTTTAAATTAAAAAGCTGCTGCAGACTATTAATTAACTACTAACTACTAGTTAGCATTTAATTAATTAGCTGTAATTAATATGAACAGCTATGAAATGAATACTTATTTTATATATTATTAAAGTGATATTTTAGATATACCTTTATATATCAAAATGTTTGAAACCTAAAATAGAACTTAATGAAATTAACATTGACAGTTTCCGTATGAGTGAGAAAAATGAGGTATGATTTTGGGGTAACTTGTAGGCTTACCGGTTGAAAATCTTGGGTATTATAGTTACGTTCCAGAAGAAAGTTTTATACTGTTGCAGTTTGTGGTTCATTTTAATTTGTTTCATTTGCTGATTTCTGAGTTTGGTGTAATTTAATGTTTTCTCCTGTTGCAGCTGTGCTTGTTGAGAATGGAAAATTCCTTCTATCGGCAAAAAGGATTCGTCATGCAACCTGCACTGAGTATATTATGTCCATGGATGCAGATAATATATGTAGATCAAGCAATGGTTACATAGGAAAACTTAGGTGTGGACATTTGAGATCTATTTTGATTATTGTTCTAAATATAAAGACTAAATTAAAGAACTAAATTTTGCATTCAGGTCAAATTTCCTGGGTACAAAATTCATTATCTATGATGTCCAGCCGCCCTATAATGGGGCTTCACTAGGCCCTCCAGGAAGAACAAGCCGAAAGTTTTTCTCCAAGAAAGTCTCTCCAAAAGTGCCAACTGGTAGCTATAAAATCGCCCAAGTAGCATATGAGCTGAATGTCCTTGGCACTCGCGGCCCACGTAGAATGCAATGTGTTATGCACTGCATCCCTGCCTCAGCCCTTTATGCTGGCGGCACTGTGCCTGGCCAGCCAGACCACAGTCTTCCACGTTCTCTCGAAGAATCATTTGGTAGCAGGAACTTTTTGAAATCCTCAATCCTGGACCACTCCTTGAACTTCAGCAGTTCTGGTTTCTCTGATGTCAGCGGAGTTGGATTTGATGAGAATGGTTATGACGAGGAGGTAAAAGAGAGGCCTTTGGTGCTTCGAAACAAGGCGCCGAGGTGGCATGAGCAGCTACAATGTTGGTGCCTTAACTTCCGAGGTCGTGTGACTGTTGCCTCTGTGAAGAACTTTCAGCTCATCGCCACTAACCAGCCAGCAGCTGGAGCTCCGACACCATCACAGCCCGTACCGCTGGATCATGACAAGATCATCCTGCAGTTTGGGAAGGTTGCAAAAGATATGTTCACAATGGATTATCGTTACCCACTATCAGCCTTTCAGTCATTTGCAATTTGCATGAGCAGCTTTGACACGAAGTTAGCTTGTGAATAGAAACAAACAATGAGAATGATTTAGAAGCAAAGATCGATAGGTATACGCTGACATATTGTTGCTGTTGCTACTGTCGTTTCGTCTGTCTTAGATGCTTGATAGTAAACTGCAAGTTTTTCTGAGCATTAATTTCCACATGTTTCTTGTTTTTTGTTATTTTGAATTTTGTTGAATGCCATTTTCTTTGATTTATAAACTTTCTGTTGGTTTAATAGTAGGTAATAATAGTGTTTTTCCTATGCTGCAAGAACTATAAATGTGGTAAATTTCTTTCTTTACACACTCGCATCGAAGTTGGCCTGATATTCAGTTGTCTTTTTTTTTAATTTAATTTTGTAACTTCTTAAAAAATTTATAAGGATATTTTGCATATTTTGGAAATAGGTCTAAGTGATTCTTTTGATCAATTAGATTAATTAATTTAAATAAATATTAATTAGGTTAATTTGTGATTTATTATTATCTAATTTATGATAATTAAGTTTTAACTGATGTTATATACTGATGAGATCTAGGTAATTGATTTATTAATTATAATAATTTATCACTAATTTTAAATTACTACTAAATGGGGCATAATTATGTTTTCAATAAAGATCATAACAATTCTAGTATAATAATTATAATGATCAAGCCGAAAAAAATAAGTTAATTTATTAAATTAACCAATTGGTAGTTAAAATTTTAGATTAAAAAATATTTGGGATATATAAGATAACTAATATTTTATGTATTAAATTTTGTTAGAAGTGTGAGACAGTTAATAAATTAATTCCTTATCAGTAAGATTTATTGATAATGAAAGAGTTGACCAAATATGGAATTAAAAAAAATTATTTTAAATATTCATATTTTATTAATATTAAGATCTGATTAAATCAAGCAATTAACCAACTTGTAATCAACTAAACCAATCATTAATCAACGTTTTATTAGAATAGGATTTTATCAAGATAATTAAAAGTTATTGTTATTTAATTATGATAATTAAGAATAAGATTAAAAAATTATTCACATTATTTAGAAATTAATAATGTTAATTAGTATTTTCATCACGTTCCTAAAAATTTTAGCAGTGTATTTTTGGGATAAGTGGCCTTTAAAGCTCATGGGGCCCATTCAAAATAAAAAACTCTTTATGTTTCTTAAACCTATGAAGGAAAGTGCACAAGATTAGGATATTTTAAGGTATTGCGTCTTCCATAAGGACCATAGACACAATACAAAGTAGTGTCACCACCCCTAAGTGTGGAACTCATCAAGGTTGGTAACTTGAAGGAATTTGTACTCATCAAACTTAATCACTGCCTACATAAAGCTTCAATGGAAGGAAATAGAAATGAGCCTTTTCAGCTCACTTTTCTCACATAACAAGAGTGATTCCTATTGTTAGAGGGGTGAGTGGAATGACTCCCCTATGGTGATTAAGATATTGAAGGCTCGAGAGGTAAACTTAGTGTCTACCTCATGAGCATCCATAATGGATATCGTCCAATTTATATTTTTTAAAGTGTTACAATCCAAGAGCTAGATTGTATATTTTGATGATTATAAATATTATTGAATGTTTATTTATATATCCCTTCTTTATACATTACATATATATTTTTTGTGTATTACTAACATTTAAGGTTTAGCATACACGAACACCGTTACAGAATCATAGATCAAGAAAGTGTTATATTAGTTAGTCATTGATCGAAAGAGTTTATATTTTATTTTTCTTGAGTCAATTTTTGTATTAGGTGTATGTTGGCTTAGCAATTATGCACACACACAATAGGGAGTGAAATTAAATATTTTATTATTATTTTTTTAAATTCATGCTCTCGATCTATTAAATAAGATACTTATTAAAATATTTAATTAAATGAGATAAATTTATCATGGGTTATAACTAATCATACTATACAACCACCACATTGCACATGAAAATTAACTATATTTAGAAACCCCGTCATTGAAGTCTGGTTACTTATATTAGGCAAATTTAAAAACTTGAATAGTTTGTATTATATGTTTGAGTTCATACAATATGAAGTTTAATTTTGTTATCTGATTTATTTATGAAGATTAAGGAATCAAATTAGGATTAATTATAATTGATGATCGTATGGTATAATCTTGATTATAGTGGCCGATCATAGTAGAGCGATGCTCGGGATGATATTTATTCATCCTAGGGTTTGTACGGGATGAACAATAATTCGATTGAATAAATCATACTGGATAATTTAGAATCATACAGAGAAATTGAATTAATAATAATGTATCATAAGATATAATCAGAGCTTGCTAAATTACAATTTTGACTTTTTTAGAGCCTTATTTATACGATCTAATTATGTCTTTAGCAAGAGTCTATTGGTAGTCAAGTCACATTTCTTTTCTGTGAGAGAGATCTTGGCGAGTCTACTTCATATGATTACTCTGGCTAGCTTGCACCTTTGGTCCTTCGATTTTTGTGTTGATGGAGCTCTTGGGAGGAGCTCTAAGGATAGCGTGTCTTCAAGGCCAAAAAACAATTGACATCTCCATCAGGCTAGGAGGTAAAAGGAGGTATGACAACTTCTCTAGGCATGCGAGCAAAAGGAGGAAGCATCAACTTGATGTGGGGTTTGTATACATTATGTTTATGCTATGGGTTGAAGTAAGCTTAAATTTTCATTGATATGTGATATCCACTAAATATGCAAATGCACATGAAAATTAAGTAATAAAGTGATTGAAAGACTGTCGATCCCATAAGGAAGTGCTTTGCCTAAATGGAAATAAACTAGTACCACCTACTATAGCTATAATGTGTAACCAACTGAATGGAAATAAAGATTGAGATTTTGTTTATACTGCATAATGCAAAAAAAAGATAAGATACTAGATGATTAAATATTTTGGACTAATGACTGTGAATTGCCTATGTTTTCCAAAGTAGATTCTTCTATATTTGATGTGGATCAATGTATATGCATTTCTAGATCTCTATCGAGCTTATAGAGATGCAAAAAGAGGCTTATAGCCTTCCTACAATTATTATATCTACATAAAGCCTAGACTTCTAAACATCATATGTTTGGGCTTGCAAAAATTCCATTCCAACACACCTAATTATTACAATATTCCTTCATCGAGATAATATATCACACTATTATCTATAAGTGATTGCATATAAGAGAAAGTTTAAGAGTAAAAGTGAATTTAGATCATCCAGATAGTACAATGCACTCTCCACTCTCCTTTATCCTCCAAATGTCATATTACTTAGAATAGATGGATTGATTATACCCCAAATGAAGTATCTTTCTCTCTTTTTTCCTCCTTTATACTTGACTCTACGGGAGAACTACACTTAAGTCAATTCTCAGTAAAAATGATAGAGCATAATAGAACTCTGATAGAACTACACAAATGAACTAAAGAAATATAATCAAACATTGTGGTGCTTAAAATGGTGGTGTCATTGCATTACAGCGTCTTGAAGCTGCTGGTCTTGCTCTACTATGATCTTAGGTAGATTTGGTGTATCTAAAGGATAAACTAATGGGTTACTTGGCTAAATCAGTGTGGATCCATCTTTCATCAACTACACCACCATGATATTAAAAAGTTGACCATTGTGGTGCTTAAATGGACAATTGGGCACTGTAGTGTTATAAATTTGGGTGCTCTGGCACTGATATTCTTGAGACTCGAGTGTTACGATGCTAATTTATGGTGCTATGGCATTATTAAGTGTTGTAATGCTTACATTGGCTTCATCGAGGTGCTGAATTAAATACCATTTTTCTCGAGGCTTCAACACTGTGATTTTCTAATCTGGTGTTGGGCATTGTAGACATTAGTAGTTTGAGCTCTACGCCGCTGGTTCAATACTTATGTATTTTTCTCATTTTTCTGGTGACATTTTTACACAATAATAACTAAATATAATTTTTTTGCTTATATTTAAAATAATTAATTAATATAATATTTACACTTAACAAGTTTCCCCCAGCTTGAACTCTTATTTTTTTCTCAAGCAGGTGTAATCACCTATAGATTAGCCTAGTAACCTTTAATCAAAAAACTGGCTGTAAAGGTCTTGAGAGAGAAAGCTAGAGAGAGATTGTCTGGGATTTCAAAAGTTTTTTCTTAGTTTTATTTGAATTCGACTGGTCCTTAATTTTTGCAGCTTGTTCGGCCATCGATCTTTGGCCGACGCTCCGGCGGATACTGGCGCCGGCGGCGGCTTTGGCAGCTACGGGTGGCGCAGATGGATGGTAACCGCCTTTCAACCACTGAAGCTTGGGCGAATTAACGGAGGGGTCTTTCAGTTCCCGTGCGACCTGCTTCCGATGTCCTCAATGGAGGTTCTAGAGCTCTGGATATGTTCAATAGTCATATCAAAGGTTTTAAGGAAAAACCTTTGGTAATCAATGAAGGTGGTTTATTAAAGAGTAAGATCCCCATTTCTGTTCATGGTAAAGGTAAGAGATCATCAAGGAGGATGATTTTGCCAGCCCAAAAGGGTTTAAAATTAATCTTGAAGGAAACAAGGTGATTGAAAATCTTAATCTGGAAGCTTCATCTATATCTGGGATGAGAATTTATTCCAACAAATGTTTTAATTCTATTTCGCTGCCTGCCTCTCTTGTCCATAATTTTAATATCGTGTCATCACTAACGGAAGACAATAACTTTAAAGGAGACAAGGTGAATGAGGTATTGTTGCATCAAGAAAATGTTAATGATTCGTGCATTGAAGCCGAGGAGAGCAATCTGAATATTCAAAAGGCAACTCAATCTGTGGATAAAGGGAAAAATGTGGTGATTTAATCGGCATGGACTAAGAAATAGAATATTAATGTTGAAAATTTGGAACTAGGTTCTTTTTTATCTGATGATGGAAAAGTGGTAAGGCTACATGCTGAGAAGGAGATTGAGAATGCAAGAAGATTAGAGAAAGCCATTGTTGTTAAGGTATTTGGAGATAACATAACATTTCAATCAGTGTGTGTTGAATTAAGAAGGCAATGGAGTTGCTTTGGAAAATTTCACATTACAGGTTTGGGTCTTGGTTGGATGCTTTGTTCGTTTGAAGATACAAATGTTTTGGAGAATATTTTAACTGGTGGAACTTGGTTTGTTGGAGGTCAGGTTGTGGGCTTAGACAAATGGTCGGCATCATTCAACCCATCTTCATTAAAAGGAATTTTAGCTCCTTTATGGATAAGATTACCTAACCTACCTCTACAATGTTGGGATGAGCTTAATATATGCAGAATTGCTTCTCAAGTTGGTA